TTATTTGGCTGGGTTGCAGTACTGAGAAACAGGCACACTGTCTCACAGAGCAGCCTTTAGGTGCTATGGTCTCCTGGAGGGTCTCCAACACGTATTTAGTTTGGAAGTGTTCAATATATTCTACCTGGATGATAGAAAAGTATATCCAGTGGAATTTCAGTACTTCCATATATATACCACTTATTTACATTTACAGATACATTTATTAACATTTACAGTTTGAATCACATAACTGTATTTACAGATACATTTATTAACATTTACAGTTTGAATCACATCACTTGTACTCCTGTAACATGCAACTGACACTAGAAAAATGTATTTTGGTTCAACCTGGCACCAAAGGGCTGAGGCAGGGTAGAAAGAGCCAGCTGGTAAGGAAGCTGAGTGGGATCTCACCTCCATACCATGTGTCACCATCCTACAAGAACATTCTAGCCCATTCTGAGACCTAGGGTTTGAAACTTGAGAGAGAATAGCAAAGCTCCTTGGAAACAAGAGCCCTAATTATTATTGTCCTGTGGTATTATTATTAATGGCAAAGAATCAGTGGAGAAGTGCTGGGAGACCAGAACATTTCTTATGTTCAGGAAGGAAATGCCTCTCTCACACACAAACACATTCACACACAAGAGATACTCACCAAAAGTTTTGCTGCTATATACTATTAATGCCAAATACAACAGCTCCCTGAGTCTATAGAAAACTTCATTAGATAACCGTTTTCAAAAAAACTTCCATCAGCTGAAGATTTGTAGAATAATACAATGATGGTATCTCAGCAGGATCTGAATGATAAAGAGAAAACATTTATTGTCAAAACAAACAAGACAAGTGAACAATGCTATCTAGGGATTGTTCTAATGGAAACCAACCAGCACTGCTTTCCATTTGAAAATACAAGCTGAAACTACAGCCAAAAAGAACAAACACTAATATCCTGCACAAGATGGATCACCAAGTACAAAATGTAAGTCCCAAACTGTCCATATCACATATCAGTGAAAGATTCCTTCCCAGTTATGCAATTTAAGGCAGCATGCCAACTGAACTACTTTGTAGATACTATTATTTATTGACTGGATATCTATTCTTAATTCACTACCTCTTACATAGAAAAACATGCCAGTTTCACTTCCAGTACAATATCTCAGGGTCCATTTTTCATTTTTCCCTTTTGTGTTCCTACCACATTTTAAGCACAACCATACAAACACTATATAGTTATTTCAAGAAATCCAAACATCTTTCCACAAAGTAACTGCAGCCTACTTCACACAGCACTTGATTTTTGCCTGTATTTTCATATGGGCACTGGCACCTGAATATAGAAAATGACTCCAAAAGTACTGCGATGTGAGGAGATATAAAAGGTTCATCTTAAATGGCTCATTTGCACACATCATCTCATGATGGATTCAACATGAATGTTTAAACCAGTCTAGAGTAGTTGTTATACAGGTTTGGCTAAGGATTCAAACACCTTTCCTGAAGGGTGGAACATCATATTTTTCTCCTCACATACATTCTGTTTGAATGTTTCTTCTCCATTGAATCTGATTTTACTATTTTAAAAAAGTATACTACACCACTATTTAAGTGCTGCTGTTGAAATACTGTCTCTTGAAGTCTTAGCATACTTCTTCCCATCCAAAATTGTATCCATTCTTTTTGTCTGTATTTAAATATATACCGTATATAGTATCCATTTATTTCGTCTGCACTTAAATACAGAGAAAGAGAGGGGCAGAAAGGCTGAGCAGGGTCTAAATGCCAATTGTACTTAAAAAATTGGATCCACCTGTAGTTAGAATAGGCCCATTGAAATAAATGGGACTTATGTTAATCATGACTAATGGTCAGGAACTTTGGCACTTTGGTACCACTATATTCCCAAGAAGGATCTGGCTGGGGTTTCTCAAACATTAGTTCTTTGTACAGTATGGCAAGCTGCTTTTAACACTCAAGAGTACCAGAAGCAGTTTACAACATGGCCTCAAAGAGGTATATTATACTGAGTTTAAAGGAAAAAATGGTTAAAAAATCCCTACTGCAAATGTACATTGAGTCCTTCTAAAACCATTATCTAGAAGAAATGGAAAAGATTTTTTTGTTTTTTGTTGCCATTTCTTACAGTTATATGCAATATACCCAGTATAAAAAGCTTATTGTAATAATATAAATTATCTCCATCTTTCCAACAAAGCAAGTACAGTTGGCCCTCCATTTTCATGGGGGATCCGTTCCAGGACACACACACCTGCAAAAACGGAGATCACCAAATATGCAAGCCCCATAGACATGAATGGAGAGCACCTCATTGATTTAAATGGAGGTCGTCCCTCCGTGAATATGTAAAACTGCAGACTTTAGGTCTGCAAGAACGGAGGGATGACTATAACTATATACAAAGTATCGACCTTATTTTCTGGCGTATAAGACTACTTTTTAACCTGCAAAATCTG